TTTCGTGTGTGTGATCAAAATCAACATCTTGTATATCGACAATCTTGCCATTCTAAATTCACCACACATAAAAATTTGTGAAACTGACAAGGGAAGGATACTCGGTCGAAGTGGCCATTTGGAATGAGCTGTATATTAGGAAACCGTCCTCCGTAGGGACGTCAAAACTACTTTCGCTAGGTGCCGAGCGGTTTTGTGGGGGGAGTTACAAGGCTTTTCCTCCGGCGCAGCCAGCGCCCCCAGTAATGAGCGAGGCTGCTAGAATAACGGAGCGGTGTGGCAGTGGCCTAGTGGCAACGCAGCAGACTACGAAGCAGATGATCGAGGGTTCGAGTCTTGTTGCTGCTATTTTGTTTTGCAGTTCTGTAAAAAGTCCATTGGGTGACAGCAAACGAGAAATACTATTTCTAGGCAGTTCAAACAAGCTACTTACTGCAAAAAAGTCACTATTTCTACAATAAGCCATAATCTTTTACAATATGTAAATCTGTGGAGGTTATGATGTCACAACAATGGGTTCAAATGATATATTAACATGTATGGAATACAACCACAAAATGCACAAAGCAGAAAAGCTTCTCGCAACGCGCGCACTTGCAAAATTGCAATCGATTCACATCCCATTTATTGGCTCTTGATCTGAACTTTACCTTGCATCATAGGGATTCCATCCTTAAGATCTTATCGCTCATTTACACACAATTTTGCTCGCCGCGGTTTTAAAAATTTGCTTTCATACCCATGGATGCAGCCGGATACATTGACAACCACCCCGGCTAATTCGAGTCTCCTATTCAGTACTGTTTTTCACCGACTTTGATAGACAATTGTGAAGCTGCTGATTGTCATCGTTTTATTTTACCCGATGTGCGCGCTGCGAGAAGCTCTTCTACTTTGAGCATTTTGTGGTTGTATTCCATACATGTTAATATATCACTTGAATCCCTTGTTGTGACATCATAACCTCCACAGATTTACATATTTTAGAAGATTATAGTTTATTGCAGAAAGTGGCTTTTTTGCAGTAACTAGCTTGTTTCGACTGCCTAGAAATAGTATTTCTCGTTTGCTGTCACCCAATAGACTTTTTACAGAACTGCAAAACAAAATAGCAGCAACAGGACTCGCACCCTCGATCATCTGCTTCGTAGTGCGCTGCGTTGCCACTGCGCCACTGCCACACTGGTGCGTTATTCTAGCGCCTCGCTCATTACTGGGTGCGCTGGCTGCGCCGGAGGAAAATGGCCTTATAACTCCCCCCACAAAACCGCTCGGCACCTAGCGAAAGTAGTTTTGAGTTTGCCTTACGGAGGACGGTTTCCTAATATACAGCTCATTCCAAATGGCCACTTCGACCGAGTATCCTTCCCTTGTGAGCAAATTTTTTTTTGTATTGCAAAAATCAACCAGTTTAGTGCACAACTTAGGTAAACAAATGAGGCAAGACTCCGGCGCTGCGAACGCTTTGTACACAAGCATGCCTAGACAAATCTGAGTTTGTAAAAATAAACATGAGCTTGTTCAGTTTTTCAAAAACTATGATTCTAAGATAATCTTTGAGTTTTTTGATCAAGAAGGAACAAAGGTATTGATTTTTCAAGCAAAAACCTTCTTTTGCACTGAAAAAAAACTCGACGAGAACGAGGTTTTCCAAGTGTCAAAACAGAATACCTATTGAAAAAGCTTAATCTATCTCATATCATGGTTAAAAACTAATTAGGTAAAGAATGGATGTGTTGGAGTGTACCGAATCCAAAGTGTTTTGAGCCGTTCAAGGGAACTGACGCTTCTCTTTTCAAAACGCGCTGGGTACAGTGTAGCGGATATATCATTTGGTACTGTAGCTTTACAAAAAATTTTGAATCGAAAGATTGCAGGTTTTTCCACACCGCATGAATATCTCGAGCCCCTTCCATGTCTGTGTTGTCCATCTTCAATGCGGTGTAGTTTTCGCCCTCGTTAGCAAGATCTATTGTCACTGATGTGTCCTCTGTGGATGTCCAGCCTGCGGATCATTCTTAGACGGACTTATCTAAGCGAGGGGTCCTGAAGGCCTGCTACGAACTGTAGTGTCTTCATTGCCGTAAAATCCACCTCCCTGAGTCTGGCGTCTTCGTCCATTCTCCCAACTCGGTTTGCGTACTCTCCAAAGGGTACGTAAGTTGACGTCAGTGCTGGCAAGTGACCTGGAAACACTCATATCGTCGGCGTATAAGTGTCTTCTTACAAGGGAACCGTGTCGAGTCGAAGTGGCCTTTCCAGATGAGACCCATACTGCTTTGAAGGTTATTGAGCGGTGATTCCAAATCTGCTTTCCAAATCTGCCAAGCGCCTCTGGACGCCGAGTTGTAACCGTTTTTTGGAACGAAAAATGAATGCAGAATTTAGGTAAAATTGATTGTTACAATTTTTCCAGCGCTCAGGTAAAGCACTGTTGAGTATTAGCATATAAAATAAAATGTATCCATTGCATAAACAACTCTGATACTTGACACTGGACCATTTGAGCAAATTTGGGCGATTTTGCTTCAGTTTTGCGTTCAATTTTTTGACCTGAAAAACGAGCATAACTCGGCGTCCAGAGGCGCTTGGCAGATTTGGAAAGCAGATTTGGAATCAACGATTGATGCTCTTCAAGGTAGTATGGGTCTCATCTGGAAAGGCCACTTCGACTTGACACGGTTTCCTTGTTAGATGCGAAAAGTTTTTGCAAATTTTCCACTGTCTTTTCGAAATCAATTTCGCATGGTTTCAGCGGAAAAATCAGTCATCAGCATATATCCGATACGATTCCTCATCAGTTTCATTAGAATCAAGTCCCGCTTTTCATTTTCTGGTAAAACAGCATCTTTTATAATTGGACCATAGTTGTCGTACTAATGTGAATGTGTTTCCAGTGTCTTCGTTAAAAATAAACATCTGAACTTTTTTACTGAGTTGATCGTAATGATCCTTCCCAGCATCTTGGACGGCAGCATTCTGGCCCTCTCGCAAGGCTGATGGACAATATCATCATCTCTTCGTGTTGGAGACGCAACTGTCTTGCCATTCCCACGATCTTCTCCAGCTGCGAATCTTAGCCATGCTTTTCTCTGTACTCTCGGCATAGTTGGTTCACTGGTAAGAGTTTCTCACTCTTTGTGGATCTATTAAAGCTTCTACTGGAAGTGTTAACTTATCTGAGGAAGCTCTGGTGTCGTATTTGCGGTTCCTCCTTGTCCTTGATCCTTGATAGTCCTTGGCGGTGAGTCTTCCTGCGGCGTAAGGTTCCTCTTTGTCCTTGACCTTGTCCTTGACCCCTGGAAGAATTCTTGTCCTTTGGAGAGCTTCCTTTTCTCTGATCGATGAGCGGTCTTCTTGGCCCAGATTCTGATCGCCAACGTTGTGGCTTGAAAATGGCTTGAGTGACTCCTTTACTATCCGCAAGGGCAAACTAAGAAGTACCATAGAGTCACAGCTGTATGTATCAAATGTGTTTACATAACAAAGTCATTATCACTAACATAATATTCCTCAAAAAAATCCGAATTTCTAACAAAATCTTATACATATGTTGTCAGTCTTACAAGGGAAAGATACTTGGTGACCGTGGCTGTTTGAAATGCGATGTATATCATAAGATGCATCTCGAAGTGCTGATTCTGAATCTGTGCTCGATATCTGCGAAACGATCTTCTGAAGGAATTTATGAACTTTTTTTGCTTAAAAACTTAGCCTACTTCTAAATAGTAGAAATCACCAGATCTGACCTAGCCTACCATTTGATGCTACTGAAGAAAATTTTAGACGTAGTACTGTTTATTTAGACTATCTGAATCATACTCAGCAATTGAAAAGGAGAGAAAACTTTTTATTGATGATTTTGACCCTCAGCAGTAACGCAATTTTTTAATGAAAAAAAATCATAACTCCATTCAGGTTATCGTTTCGCAGATATGAAAGATAGTTAGGAACCAGCTTTCAAAGGCGCATTTTTTGGTATACAAATCATTATGAACGGCCACGGCATCCAAGTATCCTCCCCGTGTTAGTAAGATTCTACAGAGTGTCCCAAAAAGATGTGCACACTGTTTAATCGTTGATAACTCTCTTGCTTTCATGTCTGTTATCGAGGTTGAGGTGTCATTCTGTAAAGCGAGGATAAACTTAGATTTTCAGTATGTAACTAATTACCAAGTACTCTTCATTTCTGTAAAATTGCGGTATGAACTTTCAGCATATAGCGTCACTGTGGAATAGGCCTCTTAATAAAATAATTTTAAAAAATCTGAAAATTTGTGTAGCAAGGTTTTCGGGCATGCTGATTTCACTATAAAACTTTTCACAAATTTTTCGAGCTTTCTTGATGGCTTAATCACATTTCTGGCAAACAATGGGAAAACAGTTGTTATCTAAATCTGAAGTAGCTTTAGAATAACGCACTACACTGAGTGCAAACTTCATATTCAGAATCAGCGACTTCGATTAGCTCACTTCAAGAGTTTCTGAATTGTTTGGCTTTGTTTTTGATGCAAAATACAGCTTTCAATAGCTTAAAATCCTTCTCGAAATTCCTACCGTAATCCTACAGTAATGAAGAGCTGCTGATAAGTCATTTCATACTGTAAATCCAAGTTGAACCTCGCTCTACAGAACGGTACCTTACGCTTGGCAAAAGACATGAAATAAGAGAGTTATTAACGATCAAACAGCGTGCACACATGAGTGCATCATCGAATGCATAAATGAATAAATAAACGAAGTAAATAAAAGTGAATCTTACAACTCATCCTACAAGTCATCCTAATACATCAGTATGTAATATGTAACACCTCAATATCCTGTAAGTTTTATCGTGATCTTTGTAAAAGTGCCTATTTCATAGCAGTTAGTAACAGCTTTGGTCTTCTAAGTCCATGGATTAATCTTTTTAGAATAAAAGGCCAAAGTGTGTAGTGATTACAACAAACGCAGCCTCCAAGTGTCATTTGCTAATATAAGATGGAGCAACTTACCAAAGTCGCACTGCAATTTTCTTTTATTACGGAAATCCCAGCTTGATTAAGGACTACGACATTTGTTGGATTGCGAACAAGCATGTTGATTGTCACTTGAGCATCAATTGTCAAAATTTTCTTTTTTGGAATACCCTTGTAAAACGGCAAATACGTCTTGAGGACGAGCTCGTACGACGCTGAAATAAAGTCATTTAGGATGGGACGGAAAGGTCAAAATTTCTGTTGCAGGCTTTGCACTTGAGTTGACCAAATATGTGATTCGGTAGCACCAATATATTACCTTCAAATAAAGGAAATGTTAGCTAAAGTTGCCAAAAAAATGCTTTGCATTGCAATTTGCTTACAATACCCGAATGCGATCAAAACTTTTCTAAAAACTCGAAATGATAAATTCAAAAAGTTCTTAAAATAAAGCTAAGATATCTTATGCGACATCTTATCGCACCGCATGGACTAAGTCCATTTTATTCGCACGAAAAGCCCATTTCGCAAGGACTTCGTGGATATCATTTCAGGTCAGAAAAAGGGCACTGTCTCTCCTTGTTACCGAATCGGTAGAACAGATTTTAGGAGGGCGCTGTGTGTATGTATATGTATGTATGTATGTATGAGTGTATGTATGTATGCATGTATGTATGTATGTATGTATGTATATATATGTATGTATGTATGTATGTATGTATGTATGTATGTATGTATGTATGTATGTATGTATGTATGTATGTATGTATGTATGTATGTATGTATGTATGTATGTATGTATGTGTGTGTGTTGTATAACAAAATTCTTAGAGCAGATGGACAACGTCCTGAGCTCAAATTTTGTGTAATGCATGCTGCTAACGCGAAATTCAACGTGCAAAAGCACGAGCAGATTCGTTGAGTAAATCGTTCAGAAACTGCTCGTCAAATGGATCCACTTTGCTTCTGGCCCGCGAAAATGAGTCCGTAGTTTCATTTTTTGTAAAGTCGCGAATGCGTATGGCAAGTAAATGTGCAGGCCATGAATATAGGTCCAAAAATGGATCTAAAGTCCACTCTTTACAAAGAGAACGCCAAAAAGAATTGATTGCATAAATGATCAATTTGCCAAGGTTTTATCAGAGCATCTGACAAGATTTTTGCACATAAATGTAGCGCACGGTGTTATTGTTCAAATGGCGACTACTCAGATAACCGCCGGGGGCAGGCGGCCATGCGAATTTTGAGCAAGCGCGCACCGGAAAAATAGTTCGTTGATTTTTTGCGGCCCGCTTGCAGAAATTTGGAAGAAAGTTGGCAAAATTAAAGACGAATGCTTGAAGAACAATCGTGGTTTCTTTATGGATTAGCTGCGGCGCAGTGGCCGCATTCTCGCGGACTTTCCGCGAGAATATGCAAAAATTTTGAGGGCCGCACGTTTCTTTGTGGAGGACCGCGCAACCCCCAGGTACTTTCCGCTGAGGGAAAGTACCTCAAACTTGAGTAATTAAACCAACGGTGACACCTCTGCCACACAGAGTCTTACCTGCGCTCGACGTACCCCGAAAATACCTAAAAAGAGTCCGAGCGCTTGCTGAAAGTTTGGCCAGCGCTCGCTGGAAGATATTATTTGACGAGCGCTCGCAGAAAATTCTGTATTGCTGCCCGCTGGCAGAACGAGGAAGTACTGCCCGCTGAAGGTTTGGCCACGCCCTAAAATTCTGCTGACCGCCTGCAGAAAAGCGCGAGTTTGCGGACCGCCTGCCCCCGGCGATTATCTGAGTACTTGAACCATGAAGAACTCAAAAACCTATTCCAATTTGCGTTCGTTCTTCTGCAAAAAGTTTCTCCATGCGAAATCACCGATTTCACATGAAAAAGCTTCCGGAAGGAGTTGGTTACAATCATTTGCGATGGTTGGCATTGCGCGGTAACTTTCAGTGTCACTATTGCTGGAATGAGTAAGAAGTTGTAAAACCAGTGCGAGCCTCCGCAAAGCAGAAGTAACGCACTGGTTTTCTATAAGACTGTTAGAGCATTCTTTAATTCTCACGCTTCAAACCGCGAAATCGCGCGCGGAATGGTAGGTAATCAACATCGAAACTCTTCGTTCTAACAGAAAATTATGAGAAGGCTATCCAACTTCTTGTTGACTGATACGGCAACAAACGAGGGATAATACTAGGATCGAACAATCATCTCCAAACCTGCATTGCACGAGGACCAAGCACTATGGACCAAAAACAGCTCTTCGATAAGCTGCCAGCCATAGCTGCCCAACTTACAGAGCATGTAGAACACTTTGATAACCAGCCAACGGTACAAACTTTCCTCCAAAAAATTCATGTACTTCATGCATAAGAAGCGGCCATGGAAAAACAACTTTCGTCATCAGGAGGAAGGGAGTTGGACATTCGATCAGTGGCTCAAAGCCATTGATGAAGTTTTCACACAAGAAGAAAAGATAGAGAGATACTCGCACTTAGCACGCAAGCAATCAAGAAGATTGCATAATGCTTGTGAGTGCTGCGGAAGCAAGGGCCACAGATGGGTTATCTGCCCTACGGTTCCTACAATTGAAGGAAAAAGAAAGTTTTTGTAGCGTCAAAAAGATGCCTTAATTGCGGATCCAACAATCACAAAAAAAGCACATGCAACAGCGTCAGTTGCCCCAAATATGGAGGAAAACATCACACTGCAATTTGCACGAAAATAAAGGCATTTCACGAACCTCGTTCCAAAAGTGCTTTCTCGCACAAGGAAACAAGCAATTTTGGCAAGGAGCAATATTCTCTGACAATAACCCCTTGCAAAAGAAGGGAAAAACTTTCGGCAACGACAGTACAACCAAGAAGTTCGAAAAGCAGGATAAGATGCCACAAAAATCTATTAAGTCTTCAAAACTGCACGATGTAACCACGAAGGACCAGAAGGAACAAGAGCCTGGTACTCCAGCAGTGTTGCAGCCACAACGGGACGAAAGCCCCGAAAGGACAAGCTGCGGCAAAGTCATTCTGCCTGCCGGTTCAGCAGATGTGGTGAGCTGGGAAAGAGACACAAAAACTTTACCGTTCTAATAAACAAGAATCCAGAACTCTCTTTCATAGACAAGAGCTTAGCGGACGAGTTGAAGCTACCCACGCACGGCACCACCTCCCTGCAAATAAGCACCTTCGGATCACCAAAACCTGTAATAAAAATTTGCGGATTAACCGAGTTCAAAACTCAAATATAAGAAAGGCACACTGCACGAAATCCATTGTACAAGAAAATTTTATTACGGGCGCAATTCAACGAGTAAGTCTGAATCAAAAGGATTTACAATTTATTGAAACACAACAATTTTCGCTATCAATTTCTATGGAAGGCGAAGAGATTCAACCGAGAATATTAATTGCTTGTGACCACTTGTGGAACTTCGTGACACTTGCAGCAAGATGAGCCCGCCTACCCTCAGGATTGCAGCACATTCCAACGAAACTTCAATATACTATGAGCGGACGTACAATGCAGGAAACACAACGCCCAATAACACTTTGCACGATTCAAGGATATAACGAGGAGAAGGAAACCTGGCAGTTATTTGTCGCTGGAATCTTCAGGTACCGAAGAATACACAGGATCACAAAAGACTGAAGTCAAGAAGTGAGCGAGGAGTTTTTCAAAGATTTCAAGGAATCGATCGAAAAACATGCAGATGGACACTACGTACGCCTACCAGGAAGGAACACCACCCGCAATTACCGGACAACAAAGCACTAGCACTGAGACGCTTGAGGAAAATGCTAGACGTCCATGGAATACCCAGACACTCTACAGATGTACGACAATGTCTTCAAGGACCAACAGGAAAAAGGAGTCATAGAAGAAGTAGCACCAAATGAGAATTCAGAAGTACACTATTTACCACATCAAGTAGTTATCACTACGATGAAGGGAACGACGAAGAGGCGTATCCTTACAAAAACTGCCCGTGTCTGAACGACGTGCTGCACCAAGGATCTCTGATACTATCAGACATGCTGGGTGTACTTCTTCGCTTCAGAATGCACGATTTGCACTTATTTCGGACATCGAAAAAACGTTTCTGCAAGTGCGATTACAAGAAGCCGATGGAATTCTACTGCATATGGATAAAGGATGTTAATCGTCCACCGACTTACGACAACCTGGTCAACCAATTTACAAGGACAGCGTTCGGATTTAACGCAGCACCTTTTCTCTTAAGCGCCACAATCGACTTCCACCTAGAGCTCACGGCACCGGATGACGCACTAGCACCAGAGATAAGGCGGAATACCTACGTTGATAACTTATTCTTTGGCGCACGATCATCGGAAGAAGCATTGCAAAAATACACCCGTTCCAAGGAGATATTTCAAGGTCTACATGAACATAAGGGAATTCATGTCTAATGATGAACACTTCAACAGCACAATCAAGGAATGCGATGGAATAAAGACCTCTCACCCAAAAGTACTCGGTATTCCATGGAATCCGAGTACGGCAAAATTATCGTCAAAGGCACTATAGCACCAGCAAAAGGAAAGACTACGAAGAGAACAGTCACCCAGCAACTTGCGTCGTTTACGATCCTCTTTGACTCACGGTGCCCCTCCTTCTACCAACAAAAGTGTTTCTGCAATCCCTGTGGAAAGAAGGGATAGATTGGGACTACTAGCACTACAATGGCATGAACATCGGAGACATATCAACCTTCTACAAAGAAATAGACAGGATAAAGGCGGAGAAAGCGACCAGGATCTTCGTATTTGTAGAGCCAATCAGTTTGCAATAGCCTTATGCGCCTACTTGGCTTGGGAAAAGCAGCTGCTGTTGGTAATGGCGAATCCAAACTTTCCCTCTCAAAACATCAATGACAATATCCAAACTGGAATGCGCTAACACTAGGCACGAGAATGGCTCTCTTCTTGCACAATGCATTACAACCATTATGCAAAATTGAAGAGATTATCCTATTCATAGACTCGGAGATTGGCTTGGGATGGGTCAAATCGTCTCCATCACGCCAAAGCGTGGGAGTGCCGATAGCAAATCGCCTACAAGAAATAGGAACATTGTCAACGATTTGGAGGGACAACTACAGGTGTACACTGTCTATTTGGACATGTGAACAGCGCGAAGAATCCAGCTCATCGAAAAACTAGAGGCTCGACATCAAACGCCCTAAGAGATTATCTTTGATGGCAAGGTCCAAATTTGATGTACGAGCACGACGGTATCAATCTCACGTTGTTTGTTAATGTAAGGAATGCAGACGAAATAGTGCTAGCAACATCACAAGTGACGCCGAAAATAGAAGCAACAAAGACTTCGCTGCTCGACTTATCGATTTCATTATTTGCACAAAGCAAAGAGTTTATGGTTCATCTCAGATAATCGCCGAGGGCAGGCGGCCATGCGAATTTTGAGCAAGCGGGACCGGAAAAATAGTTCGCTGATTTCTTGCGGTCCGCTTGCAGAAATTTGGAATATTTTTGAGCTTTTTAGACGAATGCTTGGAGAACACTCACAGTTTTTTTTATAGATTAATTGCGGCCACTGCGCCTATCAATGACATCTCTGCCACATAGAGTCTCATCTTTGCTCGGCGTACGAGCGAAGCTGTGTAAGAAGAGTACGAGCGCTTGCTGAAAGTTGACCAGCGCGCTGAAAGAGATTATTTGACGAGCGCTTGCAAAAAATGCTGTATTTGCTGCCCGCTGGCAGGATATGCGACCATAAAGGAAGTGCCTCCCGCTGAAGTTTTGGCCATGCTCCAAAATTTTGCTGACCGCCTGCAGAAAAGCGCGAGTTTGCGAAACGCCTGCCCCCGCTGTTATCTGAGATGTTCTGCGATTTGTGAAAAGATCAATCAGTTACCTGCCAGAGCTATGAAAAGGACGTTTATCAAAACATCAAGCGCTCAGCGAGATATTAACATCGCACGGCGAAAAACCCTATTTTTTTTGAACCAAACACAGCAGTAGCTAGGCTTAACATATCAGAAGCGCACGAATATTACCACTAGAGACTCGCTCACATAATGGCAGCAGTGCGTGAAAAATACTTGATACCCAAGCTTCGGCGACAAACCCAATTGGTAATTAGAAGATGCGTGCCATATCAAAAAAATAAACAATCTGCCTTTCACTCATCCAGAAACGAAGGCAGAACCTTCTCCCAAAGTGAAAAGATCAAGACCTTTTTAACATATAAGAATGGACTACGTTGAACCATTGATGATCAAAAACATGCAAGAAGCACGAAAACAAAGTATGGAATCAAGTGAAGAAAAGAAAAACAAAGAAAAAAAAGGAAAAGAAGAAGGCAAAAAAGAATGAAGGCTTATGGATGTATACATATTTGCCAGACGACAGGTTTCATACACCTGGAGTTGGTGAAGGATATGTCTATAGAAGCTTTTATAAATGCCTTTTGAAGGATTTTTCCACGAAGAGAAGTACCTGAGACGAAAACCTGCAACTACGCACCTATTTTTTGCTGGAATGACGCAGTACAAAACCGCTCATAATTCGTCAAAAAAGTCGCCGGACTGCGGCGCACTCCACCACACTCCGCCGCAGTGCGCCGGAGTGTGGCAGAGTGCGCCGGAGTGCGGCAGAGTGCGCCACACTCCGCCGCAGTGCGCCGGAATGATAGTCATCGCTTCAGAATGGACGAATTCTGAATCCGAGAACACCGTTCGATTCAGCTCGGCGAGACGCATCATCTTATATATGAAGCTGAACGTCTGTTCGTCTGTTTGTCTGTACGTATGTTCCGAATAGAACAATCCATTTCTGAACTGATCCGGACCAAACTTGGCACACATACACTTCGGTCCCCGGCGGGTGTCATGGGCTACTTTTCTTCATTGATCGATATCGATTTTATCGATTTTTATCGATTTTTCTGCAGAGTACACCTACGGGGCCGGGAGTTGGCACAGGGGGGGGTAAGTGAGCATTGGGATTCCGAATACAATATTAGTTTTCAGAATTATCGATTATTATTTTGGTTGAATTCAGTGTGCTGATAACAGTATTACCATTGATCTGTCGCTGATGACACATAGATAGTATACTAGAGGAGTATGGTAGAGAGCCACTCTGATCGAATTTGTTCTAAAATCTGCTCAAGATTACAATACTGCACACAGAATGTCAAAATTCCCGTGAGCTTCGCGGATTTCCGGGATTTCCGCCGGAGTGCGCGATAATCCGGGAAGTTCGCGACATTTCAGGATCCGCGAAACCATGCGAATCACGCAGAGTACGCAACGCCATAACTTCCTTCGGAATGAATATATTTCGAGTCCAGAAGCAGCATTGTGTTTAGACCGTCGAGGCAAATATTTTGATACACAGTATGCTCTCGATATTCCATTTCCAGTTTTTTCGAATTTTTTCTGTGGAGGTCCTTTCGCAAGGATGTAACGCAGCGCCTGTGTAACATAAAAGATTCCAGTAAGCATTGTTCGATAGCACTGCCCTTGTAGGTTATCGTGCGTTCAAGAGTAGCTGCAGACTGTCTTCCAAAAGAGATAGAAGCGTTGGTGAATTTTGGAAAAATCCCACGTTTCTAAATTCTACTCGCCGTAACTTCCTTCGGAATGAACATATTCTGAATCCGAAGAAAGCTTTGTGCTCAGTTCATAAAGGCAAGTCTTTCGATGTACAGCATATCCTTGATATTCCGATTTTAATATACTCAAATCTTTCTGTAGACGTCTCTTTGCGAAACTGTAAAGCAGCGCGCATTGCCCCTAGTAGATTCCAGCAAGGAACTTTCGTAGTACTTTTTTTCTGTAAATTACGTATCGTAAAAAGTAGTCACAGGCATCTCTCCAATGGAGGTAGAAAGGCTGGTAAATCGTAAAAAAATCTTGTTATGCCAAATTCTACTCGTCGCAACCCTAGAATACGAGGCTATCTTGCTAAGCAAATGTGAGTTTTGTAATCACAGGTCGGATAACCCTTATAAACAAGTTTTTCGAGATTTTCGGGTGATTTTATTTTTGCTTGCTTTACGCACAGAAGCTGGCCGGTGGATTTTGGTCAAAATGTTGATGATCTTGAATTGCAAAGAAACTCCGCTCATAGAGGTTTTCGAACACGCTGCTTAGGAAAATCGTGTCCTCTGTGAAGTATAGGGTCTTTTTGCAGAGATATGGTTAGATAACCGCAACGGATTCACGAAAGCTCGTAACTTCACCTCCACCTCCCACGTATCTGTCAGAAGACCTGCCTGCTTGCTATTCTAAGTCAATGTTGTGCTGTGCTATCGAAAGTTGAGATGTGCTTTCGAATGGTGCATGACTCAGGCTCCATTCTATAAAATTCGCCGAGATACGAGCCTACGAAAACACGTTCTCATGAATTTTGCCCAAAATGAAAACATCGCAAATTTCGTCGAAATTCCACCGTGAGTGCTTGTAAAACACGCTGATCAAATCTTTTCACATTCTTAATGGATGTTGTTGTGTTAGATTTGGTGGTTTGAGCTCCAAGCATTATACTCAATACAGTGGAGTCATTGAGCGAAGCGAACATAATATCCGCAATGCAGTGTCATATAAGCACTCACGGTGGAATTTCGACGAAATTTGCGATGTTTTCATTTTGGGCAAAATTCATGAGAACGTGTTTTCGTAGGCTCGTAACTCGGCGAATTTTATAGAATAGAGCCTGAGTCATGCGCCATTCGATAGCACATCTCCTATTAACTTTGACTAGAAAAGCAAGCAGGCAGGTTTTTTGACATATACGTGAGAGGTGGAGGCGAAGTTACGAGCTTTCGTGAATCCGTTGCAGTCATCTCACCATATCTCTGCAAAAAGACCCTACACTTGACAGAAAACAC